CTGCCTGGAGACCTCGGCCTGGGGACCCCGTCTTGGGGACCTCGGCCTGGGGACCCTCTGCCTGGGGACCTCGTCCTGGGGACCCCGTCTTGGGGACGTCGGCCTGGGGACCTCGGCCTGGGCACCTGCCCGCCCCCCCAGCGATATCGGAAACGCCCTCCCGGAGCCGGCCTGCGCCCCCGCGGCTGACCCCAGCCGGGCCTCTGGGCCCCCTGCCCTCCCTCTGTCCAGACCCTCTGACCACGTTGGGGCCCCGAGTCGTCCTGCCGCTGCGGGGATGAGGTCCGATCGCGGTGATGCGGGGGGCCGGGGCTCGGAGCGAGGCTGCGTGGGCGGCGGGTGGGCGCGGGCAGTGGGCCTGGTCCTGCCGGGCAGCCTGGAGCCCCGAGCGATGCGGGGAGCCGCTGCGGGGGTCCCCCTTAAGGGCGGGGGCGTGAACGTGGCGGTTGGACTCAGGGCGGGGTGCAGGGGATAGGGCCCGGCCCGGGTGACTGGGGGTCTAGGAGGGCCGCCCCGCTGCCCTCGGTCCCTGTGGGTGGAGAGCAGGGCCCAGCCAGGACTCCCGGCGGAGGCGCAGGTGCCTGGTGCCCTGAGGTGCGTGATGGTGAACGTCTCAGTGTTCTTGTTTCTGTCGGGCTTTACCCTGCAGAGTAGATGGAGTAAATTTATCTGTGGAAGCTCCCGGAGAAGGAAGGAAAGGGTGCGCTCCCGGGCAGAAACGTTCGAAGCTTATGCATAGTTTGTTTCTAAGGAATTACTTAATTCCATTTGTTGTTATTTTTTCACTTGAGCAGACAGAGGCAGAGAAAGAAAGGGGAAGTCAGAGCAAGCCGCCGGGTCCGGGACTCGAACTGCGGGCGGCCATGTGGGAATCCAGTTAATTTCAGAGAGGTTTCTGAAGACCCTCCTGTGGGTCTCTCTAATAGGGTGTGTTGTCTGGGTCTATGTGCGAGGGACCCCGGGGAGGCTGAAGCAGCCTGTTTCCCCGTGCAGGTTCACCAGGTAGGTGCGGTTCCGCCCTGGTCTTACCGCTCTGCTCACTGACAGTTGTGTGTCACCTGGCTGAAGTACCGTGACAGCCCCTGCGCGAGGACCCTGAGGTCCGGCCGGCAGGGCTCAGTCCGCACGGTGTTAATTGCAGAGCGGTTTCCAGTACAGTTTCTGTGCCCTGACTGTCCCTACGACACGCGGGGACCACCTGTGCTCCGGACTCAGCGGTGCCGCTCACAGCCAGCCCGTGTTCTCGGGTTTCAGGGTAACCCAAGGCACGCAACCAGGGCCTCGGGGTAAAAACCCGGCCGCTTTTCTGGAGAAGGAACTTTGGTTTTCCTGTTGAAACCTTGGAAGAGACGTGGAAGGAGCGCGTTCCGTAGCTGGCACGACGGCTGCAGCAGCACAGCCCGGAGCGCGCGGAGCCACCTGGGCCGTGGTGATCTACGCTGCCCCGGGTGTGAGGAGTGCGGACAGAACTTCTGGTCTGCGTTGCCTCCTCCCTCTCCCTCACTCGGTTCTTCTATCTCAGGCGGTGCATTCTCCATCTTGCACCGTCTGGGTTGTCTGGTGGAGGGGGCCCTCGGGTCCGAACTCCTGGCTCAGGAGGAGGAAGGAGACCCCGTCATTGGCGTCTTCGTTCTTGTAAAGCCAGGCCTGCTCGAACCTGGCTCCTTACGCAGGCTTCAGTACGGCTCTGTGTAATCCCCAGAGGAACCGTCTGAAGAGGAACGCGCGAGGTGGCTTCGAAGGCTGTGAGAATGCAGAGGCCGCCCCGTGTCCGGGGCACAAGGCTCCGGGTCAGGAGCCGAGGCTGGGCCGTGGCAGCGAGGTGGGCTGTGGCTCCTTGCAGGTGCCGGCTAGTTGCAGATTAACCAGAGACTCACTTCCTTGAGGTGCAGGAAGTACTTGGACCTCATTTTATGGTCTCAGAGAGGTCGGAAGCAACTAGCCGGCACTCACTGGGGAGCCGGCAGGTCTGGGGCCTGGCCCTGTTCAGGCCGTGAACACGGACGACTTGGGTCTCCGCTTTCTTTTCCTGTCCCTTAAAGAACACCTGTACGGTCGGAAGCTTCTGTCTGCGAAGCTTTCCCACTGGCATTTAGGTCCTCCTCTTTCCGCTTAGCCGGTGGGTCCACTTCAGACGTGTCTCGTGCGTCGGCGCTGCCGGCATCCGTGTGCCTCGCCCAGAGTTCGGCCTTAGCCTGAGCTGGGTCTGTGTCGGGGTGGCCTCACCCAGCGGCTCCGACTGCACCTTAGGCCTCCCGAGTGCGGTGTGGGACCGCATCCTGGGAGACGCCAGTGTGGAGCTGTACGCAGGCCAGCTTCTTCTTCCCTGCTTCCCCGAGTGTCCAGGAGAGCCCCTGGAGCCCTTACCCTCTCTGGACCGCGGCAGCTCGGGCCATGCTGAGACAGACGGAGCTCACGTGTCTCCAGGCCTTTTCCCGTCGTGGACACTGCAAGGGCCCAGAAGGCATCTGGGCTGGAAGCTCTGGCCATCCCGCCCCCACTGGGGAGCACCACCGGCGGAGTTAGAGCCCTGTCCTGTGTCCCACCTGACCATCAGGAAGGTCTGACCTAGCCGCGCCTCGCCGGAGGAGCGGTCTCACTGCTGTCTCACAAGTCTGTCCCGCTCGCTGGGATGCGCTTCCCTCTGAGTGCTCTGCCGGCTGGCGCCTGCGGCCGTGCGTCTGCATGGGAAGCTTTCGTGACGTTGACATTGGGAGCTAATGGTGGGTTTGGCCTCCCACCCAGAGACCATGGAGACCGGCAGAGTCCAGGACCAGTGTGCAAGGGGAAAGCACATTTTAAACCAGTGTATGATCTTATCTCAAAGGAAAGGCCAGAGTAGAAGGGTGAGATCATTGGTGGTTGTCCCCACATGTGTTAACGTCACAGGCTCTTCCCTGTCTCTTTTTAGATTTTTGTCCTAGGGTATGTATGCTTGCCAGAGAGAGAGCTAGCGGCCACCCCAAGATGGGATGGCCGCACTGCACTCCCTTCTCCCTGTCCCCTCTGGGCTTTGGGCACACATGCAGAGGCACCTGATGTGTGTTTTAAGCCACTGGGTCTGGGACTTGGACCGTGGAGTCAGCCACGTGGGACCTGTTTTACCATACTTTTTGTTTTATCGTGGAAAACTTCAGACACTCACAGAAACAGAGCCAATACTCCAGTAAGTCTCGTACCTGTCGGCTAACTTCCGCAGCTGGTCAGCACGGAGCCAGCCTTGTTCTCCACGCCAACCCCAGCTTCCCTCCTAGATGGCTTTGAATCGAGTCCAGACATGATTTCACTTGTAAGCATTCCAGGGTCTCTTTGTAAAAGATAACCGTAACCATAATACCATTATCACACCTGGAAGAGTGTGTGCCGCAGGGTCGCCAGGTGGCCTGTCAGCGCAGGGACTCCCGTGGCCTCTGCTGTGTTTTCAGGCCGGCAGATGAGTCCGGGTGCGTGAAAGATGCATAAGAGCTACATGGCCGTGCAGATGCGCTGATCGGGACGCCCCGCACGGGCGTGGGGGGCGGCTCCGGTCCTGGTCCCAGTCCCGGCTGCACTTGCTAGCTGTGTGGCCCTGTGCGGGCTACATGGCCACTCACCCGAGTGGTTTTGTCCTGTAAAATACGAGTGATAGCTACTTCCGGACGGCTTGAGGACCACATTTCGTAGCACTTGGCCTGCAGGTGACGCCGAGTGACAAAGCTGGCCCGTGCGTCATGCAGCGCGGATACTTGTGGCCTAAGTTGTAAGCGGAGTAAGAATCAAAGGTGGAATTTAGTCTAATTCTGCCACTTAGTTGATTTACTTCAAGGTTTGGGCCTAAATTTTCTCCCAGAGTAGGAGGTGGGGTCAACCAGCCACCAAATTTCTTCCAGGCTGTCGCAGGAAGCCTGGTATTTAGAAGGAGCCGGAGCTGGGAGAGGGTTTGTGGGCAGGCTTGCGGGTCACCAGCAGCGGCGCCTGTTCAAGCCTGTGTTCCTCCGACCCTGAGCCAGCGCCACCCAGCAAGGTGGCCGCGAGCAACAAGGTGAATGCGGTGCCCGTGGGTAGGACGGCCCAGGAGCAGGTCAGGAGCTGCGTTTGGGGAGGCGTCTTAAAACACAGTGGTGGGGAGAACCACGGGGGTGTGAGTGCCCCAGCAGTGGGCAGTGCTGAGCCCCGTTGGTCAGGTGGTCGAGAGCTGGAGGCCACCAGGTGCCCAGACGGGTGCAGGGAGGCATTTGCAGCTGTCACTGGGGGGTTAACCTCTGCCCTGCATGATTTGAAGATGTGAGCTAGAATTAGACGCGTGTGTTTTAACCGTCGGCGGCTGCACGCTCTTAGATGCCTGCCCTGGTGACCCTAGCTCCACGAAGGTAGCTCCCAGCAGCTGGGGCGGGGCGGGGCGCTCACCGACCAGTGTCTCCCAGCCTGCGCGGTATCAGTCCCCTGAGCCAACTCGGTGTGACGTTACCTGGTCACCCCCGTGACATTTTGACTCAGTGAGTGCTAAGGTGGGGCCCAGGATCAGTTTCCCTCCCTTCCAAGTCACCCTAGGAGCCCGGTCTCACGGTTCTTTCCTTTAAGGATGTATCAGACAAGAAAAGATTTGTAACTCTGCAGAGAGAAAGATGGCCAGCTGTTAATGTTGCTGCATTTTCACATGTGTGTATTTCATGCATGTGTATGTATGTGTACGTATATATACATGTTATATATATTTTTTGGCACAAGGATCGCTCACTTGCCAGAAAAACACACAGAGAAACGGAAAATGAGAAAGCCCTGGAGGACGGCCACAATGCAGTCCCTTCTCACACTCGCCTGGCGTGGTTCTCAAGCAGCTGTGTCCGGGAGTCGAACTGTGGCTGGCCATGTGGGAGTGTCTAGGACCTTAACCACCACGCCACCTGCTGGTCTCAATTTTTGTAGTTTTTATCCACCAGTCCCGAACCTTCTATTTCCTTCCAGGCCCAGGTTTCAAAATGGAAGTGTCTTATCTCAGATGAAGACTTGGGCCTTGTTAATGAGAGCCAGCAGGTGGCATGGCAGTTAGGGTGCTGGATCCCACGTGGCCGACTGCGTGGTTCCAGTTCTGGACCTGGAGCCTTGGAAAATGTGCTGGGCGTGTGTGCATGTGTGCCCAAAATGCCTAGAGGGGAATGGAGGAGAAGGGATTATCCCTAGGGGGTAATTTCTCACTTCCCTCCTCTCTCTCTCTGTCATTCTCTGGTGAACATACATGCCCTATAACAAAGTATGATGTTTTTTTAAAAAGTAGGTAAGCTACTAAGAAGAGACACTAACGACCCTTATTTAGAATCAAGAATAAGATACGCAGTATCTACGACAGAGACAGAAGCCCCCTGAACCATTTCAAGCTCCGTCGGGAAGCAGAGGAGGAGGACAAAGAAACAGACGCTTGGAAAGTGCAGATGAGGACCTGATGCAGGCTGCAAGAGGAAAAAAAGATGGAGAGACATTTTCTAGGACTTAGAGAGAGGGGAACAGTCTTGGCTAGAAATTGCTGCAGGATGACACAAAGGGAAATGTGAAAATGTAAAAATGTAAAAATTGAATTACAGTGAAATTCAAGGATATCCAAGATGAAGGAAGAATTCCAAAAGTTCCCAGAGAGAAAGAACAAACAACTTTCTAGGACGATCCTACTTCTCAACAGCAACACGAGGCTTAGTAAAACAGTGGAGTAATATTTTTAAAGCATTTTGAGTGAAAGAGCGTGAAACCTGGACTTTTATATCCAGCCAAACTGCCTTTTGGATGTGATAAAAATATTTTCAGATAGGTGTGGCTTCATTAGGTTTTTCTCATAAAGGCCGTTATATAATAGAAAGACTAAGTATTAAAAAAACTGGAATCCTGTCATTGGAGATAGCGTTGTTGAGCATGGAGGATGTGTCGTTAAATGAAGTACACCAGGCTTTTAAAGAAGTACCGCGTGTGCTCTTACACGTGCAAACGGAAAGAACGGCCTCCGAGAGGGAGACGGTGGGAGGAGGACCGCTAGAGGCTGGGGAGGTAAGAGGGAGAGATACAGAGATGCTGGTTAGCAGAAAGTAAGTCACCCAGGAAAGGGAGACAACCGCCAGTCCTGGAGTCTGAAGTGCAGCAGAGCAAGTCACCCTAGGAGCCCGGTCTCACGGTTCTTTCCTTTAAGGATGTATCAGACAAGAAAAGATTTGTAACTCTGCAGAGAGAAAGATGGCCAGCTGTTAATGTTGCTGCATTTTCACATGTGTGTATTTCATGCATGTGTATGTATGTGTACGTATATATACATGTTATATATATTTTTTGGCACAAGGATCGCTCACTTGCCAGAAAAACACACAGAGAAACGGAAAATGAGAAAGCCCTGGAGGACGGCCACAATGCAGTCCCTTCTCACACTCGCCTGGCGTGGTTCTCAAGCAGCTGTGTCCGGGAGTCGAACTGTGGCTGGGCCTGTGGGAGTGGCTAAGGGATGTGGGAGTGTCTAGGACCTTAACCACCACGCCACCTGCTGGTCTCAATTTTTGTAGTTTTTATCCACCAGTCCCGAACCTTCTATTTCCTTCCAGGCCCAGGTTTCAAAATGGAAGTGTCTTATCTCAGATGAAGACTTGGGCCTTGTTAATGAGAGCCAGCAGGTGGCATGGCAGTTAGGGTGCTGGATCCCACGTGGCCAGCCCCACACGGCCAGCTCCTGACCTAGTGGCTTGGAAAACACGCCGGCATGTGTGTGTTCCCAAGTCCTCAGAGGAGACGGAGGAGAAGCAATGGCAGTGTGGCCACCTCCGGAAGGCGCCTTCTCGGATCTCCCTCTCTGTGTCTGTGGTGAGCACACGTACCCCATTGTGAAAACCTTTGAAAAGTCTCTAATTTTTCTTATGGAGGTTGCTGTTGCCAGTCCCAGCGTTACCGATCACCCGACTTCTGCTTTATTGGCCTTGAAGGGTTTCTCAGCAGCTCGGCAGTAACTGGAGGGGTGAGGGCAGCACTGGGACGCCTGTGACAGCCCAGGCCGTGGTCACGTAAGAGGTCATTGCGTGAGCTCGCCGACGCCGCCGGGTCATGCCGCCCGGCCACAGCTCCAGAGCTCGCTGGAACAAGCACATACGTTTCCCAGCACACTGCTCTGGGCTCGTACCGGAGGCGCACGGCCCGCGTGCCACCAGGGCGCAGGGCGAGGGGGAGTGTTGCTTTCTCAGACGAAGGTGGGTGTGTCCGGCGCAGCGGGCACGAGTTACTGCCCGCCCAGTTCCGGAGTCAGAGGGCCCAGAACGGCTCCTGGCCACGGTGTGTCCTCAGATCCCAGCAGGTAAAATGGATGGTGCTCATGGGTAGAAGCCAGAAACCATCTATCGAAGCAGAGGATAATAGAATTGGCTCGCTTGTTTCGCAGAGAAACGATCGGCTCGCCCCAGGGTCTGGGAGGTGGCGGTGAGAGGCAATCGCAGGTGCGTCCCGGAAGAGGCGTGGACTGCCGGGCCTGTGGTTGAGCGCAGATAATCTGCTCCAGAACGTAGGCGCTGCTTGCCCTGATGGTCTTGGACTCACACTGAAACCGGAACCAGAAACGCACACTTGAGCACACCCATCGGGCAGGGTGGTTGCGAGCGGGGCCTGGGATGGCCAGGCACCTGCATCGTGCCTCGGTGTGCCCGTCCGCCCAGTAGGTAGTGAGTGTGTCACGAGAGCCGCTGCTGACCCAGCCCCGCGGCGCTCCTGCGTGTGGCTCGCGGCCTCTCCTGAGCCTGCAGAGCTGAGCTCCCACGGCCGGCACCCCGCACGCAGGAGGCGCGGAGACACCGACGGCGGCGCTCGCAGGATCCGGTCTAGGAGCGCGTGCTCTGGTTTCACATGCACATTTTAAAAAGCTGCTCCGTCGCTGCTCCCTCGCCACAGTGCGTGTGAGTGCAGAAGTGGCTTCCTGTGAGAATGGCCTGTGCGTGTCGGAGCGTCAGCACGCGGCGGCGGGGGGCGCTGGGGGCCGGCGAGGCGTGGCAGCAGGCCTCCCGCAGGTCCCCCGCCGCAGAGTTGGGCCCTAGAACGAGCACTGAGCTCCACGTCGGTGTTACCTGACACGGAGCGAGGGTCCCTGGAGATTCCGCCTCAGGTGGATTTTTGTGTCCGAGCCCAGAAACATCCTCTTTGGAAGAAATTAATTTAAGAACATATACTTTTAGGCTAGCAGATGGCTTGGTGGTTAAGATGCTGGATCCCACATGGCCAACTGTGCAGTTCAAGTCTCGGGCCCAGTGGTTTGAAAACACACCAGGCGCAGGACCAGCAGTTAGCATAATGGCTATGTCGCTGGACTCCCATGTAGTCGACCGCGGTTCACATCCTGGACCCAGTCGCTTAAACTCACGCCTGGCGCGTGTGTGTGCATGCCAAGATCCCGAGAGAAGAATGGAGAAGGGATTGCGGCGTGGCCGTCCCCCTGGGGATGATTTCTTGCTTTCTGTCTCTGTCTCTCTCTGTCCTTCTGGTAATCACACGTGCGTATAGCAAAAACCTCTCCAAAAACACACATACCAGGGACATGAGCACATGCACCTAAAATCCCGAGGAGGATGGAGAAGGGACTGAGGTGTGGCCATCCCCTCTGAGGTGGGGAGATCTCTCCCTTCCCCTCGCGGTCTCTCCAGCAGGTGCACACGTCCTGTGATGATGCACGTCTGTGTACTTCTTTACACACCTAGTGCCCCTCCCCGGTGACTGGGTCGGTCCTCACCTGGTCCTAGCGCGAGTCGGCTGTCCCCTTCCCTGTGACGGTGACATCAGGACGACGTGTATGCGTGATGGGACATGGGACGTGCTTGCCGCCTTTTTCCTAGAAAAATGATCTCTCTATTAAACCTTAGAAGAAGCATTAGTAAAGAAGAAAGCTCATTAATACAAGAGGATAAACTTCCAGTACTTTTTGGCAATCTGGTTCCTTCTAAGTGTTGGGCAGGGAGAGAGCTGACCTCGGCGTGCTGCGCCATGCACCGCCCGCCCGCTGCGTGTGCGTGTGCGAGCGTGTGCAGACGACGTCAGTGCGGTTTTAAAACCAGTCCCCGGTGTCCGCGCGTCCTCGCGCTCTGAGCAGGTTGCACGTCTGTCTTAGTCACGCCCTGTCCATGGCGAGTCTGCTTGTTGGGGGTCGTCTCGGCGTCTGATCTCGGCCCTTTCCGCCTGGTACTGGTGGTCCCCGTCCCCTGTGTCCCGTGAGCCGACTGAAGTGTCTGCTCCAGGCCCAGGGGACACCAGGGCTCAGTCGCACCCCGCCCTGAGAGCCGGGCCTGAGGGCGCTTGGGAGGCTGCAGGACCCGGCCGGTGTGCACCTGGAGAGACCCCAGTGCCTGTGAAGACAGTTGTTGGGGAAGGGCTGCCTGGCCCTGCTGCCGTGAGTGCGAGGTGCTCGGAGGCTGAGGGCCTGCTCCCTGGGGTGTCCGTCCAGGGCCAGCAGGCACTCCGACACCTCACGTGTGGGTGGCTGTCCTGGGACAGGGGCCGGCGTGAGTTCGGTTGGGGTTGGGGCCTCCGGAGCTAGCCAGCTGTGGTGTAACCTGCGGTTCTAGCCGCTTTTAGGTGAGTTAAGTCCTCAGGTTTGGAAGGCCGATGGATTAACTCCGGTAAAGCAGGGGACCCCGAGTACCTGCCGGTATGGCCGCTACACGCGTCAGCGCGGTTTGGAAGGGCACGCTCTGCAGCGCTAACCTGCTCCGTGGTGTTTGATCTGTTTTAGGAACTGGATGGCTTCTACAGGGAGCCAGTCCTCTGATTTAGACGACATTTTTGGATTCTTCAGTGATGGCGCACCCCCCACCAAAAAGCCCAGGTAAACGGGAAGGGAGTCCGAACCGGGCGACTCGGGCGGGGCTGAAGAGGGAGGGCTTTCTCTGCGCCCCGGCTCTCGCCCACTGCTCCTGGCCTCCGTTCCCAAAGCGTCCCATTGTGACTTACCGTGTGCGCTCTGCGAAGGTGACACGGGGGCAGGGTGCAAACCAGGGACGCGGGCTTGTGGGCCCCATGAGCCACGTGGACTCCTTCCCGGGTCTCGGTCTGTGTATTCCCTGTCACGGGCATGGGGACTTGGTGGCCTGGCTTGTCTGGCCACTGTCGCCTGCAGGCCTCCACGTCCCTGCGCCGGCCCTGCGTTTTCCCATCTCTGACCGGCAAAGAGCCACTGCCGGGCCCGATGGCGACCACGCCCACGCCTCCTTTCTTGTCCCTCTCCCTTGTCTCAGGGTGTCTTGGTTCTTGGTTTTGTTTTTCTGATTCTCCCGAGAGTGTGTGCGTCTGCCAGGGAGAGAAGCCCCTCCGGGGTGCCCGTGCAGTCCCCACGCCCTCGCCCTCCTTCCAGGCTCGCGCACAAGCTCCGGGCCCCTGGGCCTGTCTCTCAGGCCGAAGGTCCGAGGGGGACTGTGCCGTCGGCCTGCGGGCTGTAGCTGCCCTCACCACCGCCCCGGGGCCAGGTGCCCTCAGGTTGCTGTCAGACGTGCCTGTTGGACCCTGCCGGACGTGCAGGGAGACGCCAGTACTGACGGCTGTCCACTTCGTCCCCTGGGCCCCACCGCGCCCACCATCGCTGCACTGCGCCCCGGGTGGGCCCGTTTCCTGGGTCTCCTGTTGTTTCTGGCACTGTGTACTCTGAGCTCGTGGAGCTTCCTTCAAGGCCACACTGGCACAGCAGTGGCGTGCCCAGGCTTATGGGTGCCCTGGAGGTGGAGCTTCCGGCGGAGAAGGCCCCGAGAGCTTAGAGGGTCTGGGAGCGCCTACAGGTGTCCAGAGAGCCCAGCCCAGGCCGCAGGACACATGCCCTGGCCTCCCACCTCTCTGAGGCCTCCAGGATGTGCTCAGCATGGAGACTCCACAGTGACCTGGGGACCGGTTCTGGGCCCATTCTGTCTGCAGCACTCTGTTCACTCCGTGGCCCACCCCGGTCATGCGTGGCGCTCCTTCTGTGGTTCTTGTTCTTTGGCATCCCCTTTGTGGTTTCAATCCTGGTTTCTCAGAGTCTCTCCATTTTATCTGATGGGTTTTTGTTTAGGATGTTGTATTTTCAGTTCTGAGAAGTGTGTGCCAGCCTTCCCCTTCCTGTCGCACACTGTTCACGTTCACAAATGAAATTTTTTTAAAGAGGTTTTTGCTATAGGGTGTGTGCGCTCGCCAGAAAGACAGAGGCAGAGAGACAGAAAGCGAGAAATCACCCCCCAGGGTGGATGGACACACCGCAATCCCTTATCCTCCATTCTCCTCTCGGGATCTTGGGCACGCACGCACACGTGCCTGGCATGAGTTTAAGCCACCAGATCCAGGACTCGAACTGCAGTCGACTGACTACATGGGAGTCCAGCGACATAGCAATTGTGCCATCTGCTGGTCCTCACAAATGAGATTTTTTTGAAAGTCTGGAGGACATTGCTGCCTCGTGGCTGTTTCTCCTCCTCCCTGCCCCTTTGCTGCCCCACAGTCCTTGTGCTGGCTTTCCTCAGTGGATATGCCCAGGTCAGGCCAGCTGCCGGGGGTGCCGGGCTTGGCTATGGCTGGGCTCCCCTGTGGGCCTCAGCAGCGACCAGGTCCCACAGTCTCTGGCCCCCACCTGGTGAATCTATGGCCCTCTCCCCTCCCACCGCGCGTCAGCCCACAGAGCGCCCTCCCGAGCCCTGATCAGATGAGTGGAGTGCAGGCTCCCTGGGGCATGAGAGGGAGCCCTGCCAGGAGGTGACCTGTCCCCAAGTGCTCCTGCTGTCGCCTCCATAAGGTTCTCCACCCCGAGGTGACTAGACAGTCCCGAGAGACTGCCGAGGGGATTGGCTTTGTTGGTTTTTGTTTTCGTTTTGCTATAGGGCATGTGCACTCGCCAGAGAGAGAGGGAATGTAAGTCATCACCCCTAGGAGGGATGGCCTCGCCACAGCCCCTTCTCGTCTCTTCCGGGGTCTTGGGCAGGCACTCGGCCCGCTGTGATTTCCACGCTGCTAGGTCCAGGGTTCGAATCACACAGTTGGCCATGGGCGATCCAGCACCTTCGGCCCCACAGCACTGCTGGCCTGGGGTCGGCTCTTAGGTTACGACTGAAACTCACGCGGTTCCGAGCTCTGCCGTCCGCTGTCTTCCTACCCTACTTTGTGTGCGTGTGTGTTTTCTGGGAGGTATCCTGTGGTGGTTCTGGAAGGGCTAGAAATGACACACACAAGTTTTCCTCTCGAACGGGAAGTTGCAGTAGAACTCACAGGCAGGTCTAGCCTGGGGTGGGCGTTCACCCGGTGCAGTGGCAGCGTGGAGAGCGGAGTCCGCCCTCCCAGCCCCCGTCGGCCTCAGTCTGTGCAGTCCCGGGAGTTTTCCCCACGTGGGCGTATTGCCTGTGTGCACGCGTGTGTGTCGGCACTGACTTGTCACTGACTTGACTCCTCTGAAGTCGGTGTCTCCGCGTCCCGTCTGCTGCTCCCTCGGACTGCACTTCCGAGGCCGGGGCTCACTGGGTGGCGGGGCTGTCCTGGTGCCTCCGAGCTGCTGCGCTTTGTGGACTGTCTGAATCGGGCTGGTGTAGGGACGGCACGCTAACCCGGCAGCTGGCTCCCCAGAACCACGCTCCCAGGGCCGAACAGTGAGAGGGCCCGGTCCTTTCTTGGGTTGTACCAGGATCCCGTCCTGTTTGCGTTCATCTTGATACGTGGAGAGGTGGGGAGAGTCTCTTGAAAGACACGGCGGCAGCACAGGTTAGGGACGACGCGTCTCCCCGGGACTGTCAGGTACTGCCTCTGAGCACCGAGGGCAAACCGCTGGAGCCCATGGTGCTGCATGTGGGCCTTGGTGCTCCGCCCGGTGGGGGTCCTGTGCCTGTCACGCTGTTCCAGGCCGGGAGGCTCCTGTGGCACTTCTTCGCCCCTCGCCCTTCCTCTCTTTTACCTGAAGATGCTCAGAACAAAACCAAGGAAGGGTCCGTTCCCAGGTCTGTCTGTCTCGTGCTGTGTGGTTGATGTTCACATTTGGGGTTATGTTGTTTTTTTTCTTCTAAGGTTTTTGCCACAGGGTACGTGTGCTCCCTAGAGAGAGACAGACAGGGAAAGTGAGCAGTGACCCTGGCAGAGTACCACGCAGCAGGATTTGGGTGACACACACACACTGAGTGTCTCAAGCCACCAGGCCCAGGACTCCGACCAGAGCTGGCCGCCTGCCAGCCTGGGCGTCCGTGGGGCTGTGGGCCACGTCTCGTGCTGCGTTTGGCTTTTCTCAGCACCGAGAACC